GATTTGCGAACCAAGGTGTGGCGCCAGAGTTTCTGGATGCGTGCCTATGGGGCACCCAGTGCCAAACGAACATGTTTATGGGCCAATTCCCGTGGGGTCCGTTTCTTCGCACACGGCAAGATGAGTGCGGCCACGTTGAGATCAAAACACGCACTGGCCTCCAAGAGCTACACTCGATCTGGCAAAAAGATGTACACTGGAAATCGTGTAAACTTAAAGGCTAGCCAGCTCCTTGACATTTGATTTGCATATGCATGCATGCATGCAGTTCACATGTATGAAACGATGTATGCATGCTTCCCAAAGCCATCCGAAGCTATCCCAGGCAATACCCAGTTCGCTTCGGCCTGCGTCTCGTGCGGGCGTTCGACACCCTCATCCATGAGCGTGAAGACCCGACCTTTCTCAGCCAGGCGTGTGCGATACTTGGGCGGGCTGCGGGTATCGGGTCGGGCTTGGTGTTCAACCCTCTACTTGGCCGGGGGGGTGACAGTGCGGATTCATGCATGTGTGGCGCCTTTGCGTGCCTATGCTGGTTTAGGCCGAGATTGGTGATCAAGATCTAGATCCCATGGCCCAGATCTACAGCTCAAGCGAGCTATTTCGTGATTTGTGGCATGATGCGCAAATGCCGGAGGTTTACAAGTACCTTCGCAATTCAAGGGATGTACAGCTTGCAAAATGTTGGGAAGGCATGCCTGGCATTTAAGATGCACGCGTGGAGTATGTGTCGAACACGTACTTATCATTCTGATTGGGGGATCGCATCGGGTGAGCTGCAAAATCTGCATGTGTTTATCCGATTGTGTGGCGTACAACACAGTTGAGGCTGCGGTCGGAGTGACAGGAAATTTGTAGAGTGGCGTAAAAACCCATAATAGTGGCGTAACATTCCATAGGGAATCTATGGCCAAATATGTATACTTTCATTATCAGGAATATAGCCTTTTTTCTCCGATTCGGGGTCCGAAATGTGTCGTTTGAGCCCTCATGATGAAAATATGCCACTTTCCGATGTGATTGATCCCACACATGCAGCTGGCTTAAGTCTAGGATCGGGCCGTGTGCACATGTCTTGCCAAACCCTTTTGTGCGGGAACAGCTTCATCATGGAGCAATTCGCCGAACATGCCGAATCTGTGCCCACGGCCTTGAAACAAAAGATCCAGGAGTCTCGCTCGCATTGTTACATATGCATGTGTTTCCCGATTTACATTTCTTATATTTATCATGTCCGTGCAGCATGTGCAATTGACTGAGGCTGCGCAAGCCAAGCTGGCTGCACTGCGTGCCGCTAAGAGCGGCGTGATCCCAGCACCACTGAGCCTTCCAGCCCTGCAGACACACGTTCTGGTCCTGTTAGCCCTGCTGTCAGCCCCATGAACCAAACTGGCCCAACAAGCCTGCAGGCAAGTGCCGCCGCTGTGCCTGTCAGCCCCACAAACCATGTCAGCCCCACCCTCCAGACCGGCCCAACAAGCCAGAAGCTTTTTGCCACTGTGTCCGTGGATAGCCAATCCCAGGAAGGAACTGTGCCCGCCGACCTTCAGGCAATGCAGCCTCCAGCTTTGGTTCCACCTTCGCCCACCAAGTCAATCAAGTCGCCCACAAACCCGGCCAGCACACCGCCCAGGGAGTTCTTGTCCAAAAAGGTGCCTGTCGAGATCTCCACCGCTACCTTGCTTGGGTCTGACGCTGGCAACGAGAGCTCGACTTCATGGGTGGACTCGGGGACAGAGAAGGATCGGGGACAGAGAAGGACTCTCGTCTGCATTGAGCGGTGTTTGCTTGACAATCGCATGACAATCCGAAATCGGGATGTATCATGTGGTCGGCTTGAGCGCATGCATTGAACGTGAGATCAACCATGCACATGCAGTGCAATGGCCACATTTTATGGTTTGATCGGCAATTTGTCATGTATTTGCACGCATTGCCATTTGGCTAGAACTTGTGCGCTCGAGATCGGTCAGTGAGTGCAGAGATGGGGCCTCGTGTCGTCCAGCCTCGTCCAAAGCACATGATGCATCAGCCCAAGATGATTCCGCACCCGCCCAAGTTCCCGCCCCCGACACACCTTCGTGACGGCCAGACAGCTGTGGATGACGTCAAGCAGACATATTTCCGGCTGCGGGCACGTCGCTTGAAACGGGAAGAGCAAGAACGATCTTCTGGCCGTGGGCTTAGCCCTGAGACGCTGGCGAACGGGCGTTGGAGACGATTCTTCCCATGGAGATGGAGGAGGTCGAGGTGGAGGAGACAGATGCGGAGCAATCGGAGCAGGCGGCGGCGGCGGCGGCGGGTGCTCAGCCCATGGAGGTGTCGGTTGAGCCCATGGATGAGCTGGCGCCGGATGGCAACCAGCCCACAGAGAAGGCGTCAGATGTGGTGCTCATCACGGAGGACACAGCCTTGGATGCGGCGGGCAATCAGCCCATGGAGGCGGCGGCGGGCAATCAGCCCATGGAGGGCAATCAGCCCATGGAGGTGGCGGCAGGCAAGCAGCCCGTGGAGGCTGTGCTGGGCAAGCAGCCCATGGAGGTGGTGCTGGGCACACAGCCCACGGAGATGGTGGCAGGCAAGCAGCCTGTGGCGGTGGCGGAGGTGGTGGCGGAGGTGGCGAGCGAGGTGGTGGTGGAGGTGGCGAGCAAGCAGCCCGTGGCGGTGGCGGAGGTGGTGGCGAGCAAGCAGCCCGTGGCGGTGGCGATGGGCAAGCAGCCTGTGGAGGTGGTGGCGAGCAAGCAGCCCGTGGAGGTGGTGGCGAGCAAGCAGCCCGTGGCGATGGGCAAGCAGCCTATGGAGGTGGCGACGGGCAAGCCTAAGCAGGACGCGGCGGCGAAGCCCATGGAGGGGGTGCACATGGAGCCGGCGGGCAACAAAGAGCCCAAGAAGGCGACAAAGAGGAAGGCCACGGCGGAGGCGGAGATCGCGACCATCCCGAAGAGTGAGGTGAAGAAGGCCCAGGAGAAGGAGATCAAGAAGATTACGAAGAAGGAGAAGAAGGAGAAGAAGGAGAACAAGGAGAAGAAGAAGGAGATCAAGAAGGAGATCAAGAAGGATGAGATCAAGAAGAATGAGATCAAGAAGGATGAGATCAAGAAGAAGAAGGATCTCGAGAGCGAAGCGGGCAAGGCCAAAAGCGGCAAGAAGAGCCGCAGCAAGCACGTCGACGCGGAGAAAGAGGAGCTGACTCCATTGGACAGCCCAACAAGTTCAATGGGCGAAGATGAGGAGTATGTGCCCACATCCGATGTGTCGCCTGTGCCACAGAGAGTGGCGAATCAGGAGCGGCCGCCGAGCACTGGTCAGCAGGGCACTCCCATCAGTGCCCAGGAGCGGCCGCTGACCACCTTGCCTGGGGGGGCGTTGGGTCCCTTCCCTGGGCTTCGTACGCTTGACCTGTTGCAGACAATCTACAACCAGAACATGCTGCAGCTGCACGCGATCGCGGGGCTGATGGATCGCATCCGAGCAGATGGCTTTCTGCTGTAGGGCTTTTCCACGCACTAGACGTGCAAACATGCACTCGTGATGTGGGGCAGGCGTGCACGCGTTCCTAGATCGCAGAGTTGAGCCACACATGCAAAGCAATACCTGCAGGTACCGAAACAAAGATTCCGGGATCGCCAGTTGCTGCTTTTTGTTTGCATGCATTAAACTTACCCCAACAACCAGCAACCTAGGTTAACTTCAAAAAGCAGCAACTTGGCTATCTATAGGTTGTGCATGCATATGTTTCATGGAGACCAATCATGAACTGCGATCCAGGCGTGGGCAACTGACAGCACATGTCACTGCACGAGCGGTGGCCGCCTTTTACACGGAATATGGCACCAAATGATGTGCCATAACGCGCCGCATTGCAATCATGCATCGGCAAAAGCCACGCGAGAATGACACATGCCCGCCCGCCCCCCCCCCCCCCATCCCATCCTGTCCACCTATAATTGGGTATACCGTGTCAAATGTTTCAGGCGCCCCTCTTACGGGCATTTGTGGCAGACATGAGGTCGGACACACAATTGGACCCCTGTTTACGTCAGTGACGCAAAGTCCTTTGCAGTCCCAAAGAAACGATCGAACTGATATTGATCGAATTAAGTCCCTTTGCCAGCATCGCATATGTTGGCCTGTCAGCGAGTGATGTCCCGGGGTTGATTCTACACTTTAGCATCACATGTTGCAGCATAGTTTCCATGCCCGATTTAGGAAAGTCCATTCATCGAGTACACATGCATTCGATTGGAACAATCTTTACCGATGTTATTTGAGATAAATGCCTCCTAGCGGATCGGTCAATTTCTCGCCTTGCGTGCCACGCCGAGGAAGCTGCATCGTCTGATGCAAAGATGGAGGAGGACACTCCGGTGCCGGCGATTCCTGAGCGGCCCGATGCAACCACCACGGATGAGGAGAAGGATCGATCGCTCGAGATATATGGTGTGCACATGTGCAAGTGTAGAATTCATGCAATATCATATGTGCGCAATATATTGCGGCGTGGGATTCATTTACCATGTATGCCCACATGCCCTGAGGACGTGTCCAAGTTAACCTTAGCACTTGAGTGTCAATTGTTTTTGCGGTATTCTTTCCACCGGACTTGAAGGTGCCCCGCAAAGATGGACTGAGTAAATTGGATATTCACGGGTGAACTGTGCAAATCATAGTTTACACTGGGCCTCAACCCCTGCATTATTCCACTGTGTAGGCCTTATCCCCCTCCTCAACCCCTAGTTGTATGATGGCTGACACACGCATGCGGGCATGACTTTGGATAGAAATTAACGTTTCAATCTTCTGTCCCCAACATGTCCAAGTGCAAGGTTTGAAGGATGATTAACATGTGCTATAGTGCTTTTCCTCCAGCATGCATTCACTTGGAATAGAAACTCGATCGGCAGAAGCTAACTTGATCGATCCATTGGTTACCCCTGGACGCATACATGTGGCCCACGCAGGACAAAAAGCGCAAGGCGTTTGACGCCCAATTGAGACGGATGTGCACGCCCAAGCTCCGCACTGGCCGGGCGGATGTTTTAAAGGAGGTGATGGAGAAGTGGAAGCTGGGGGGGGAGAGCCGCCGACAGTTGTTGGACACTTTGGTGGAGGTGAAGGGGGACAAAGAAGCTTTCAAGAAATCCATCGAAGTTTGCTTCACCAAGGGCCGCAAGAACACCATCAAAATTTCTGCGGGCTCGTATTCGAAGGACCGCATGAGGACCGTGCTTGGATTTGGGAAGTAGCGCCCTAAGATCCCTTCCTTGACATGTATTAGGTGCACATGTTTTCTAGGTGTGAGGCACTTTGCTCAAACGAGTGTGTGTGGGTGCATGCGATTGAAACTGCATGCATATAAATGCAATTCACCGAATGGGAATTTTGACACATGTTTGGCGACTTTGTACGGCTTGCGCGTCTCCAAGGCAAAGAATCAAGGCTGTTGTGAACTACTGCAGCGTTCCGGAGGTACCACCGGCTTCTTGGCGCCCACCGGTGTACCTCATAGCCTAGTGCATGGGTTGGAACATATATTCATCAGACAAATGATTCAGCTGGTACACGGCATGGTGGTCATGCATTTTCAAAAAAACACTCACCCACACTATAGGTATGACAAGTATGAGAAGAATGTGCGGGAGTACTGGGTGCAGGAGCAGGAGTCCGGATCTTTTGAGACCACCGATGAGCAGCAGCTCCGTGACACTACCGTGATGGCCCAGAATGCTGAGACCAATCAGGTGAACTTGGCGCCCCCGCCCTCCGGCCCGTTGTCGCCGCCAGCGTCCTCGGACGACGAGCAAAGCATGAGTGAGGATGAGGAGTCCGGCCGCCCCAAGAAAAAGACAAAGAAGGAAAAGACAGGGGCTGATTTCGATCAAGAGCACCGCCTTGAGGCCACATGTGTGTGTTTTCCCACCTGTCCGATCCAATTCACACACAATTACAGATCGATCGATCCCTTATCCCCCGCCCTGCCGTAGAATTCCCATGCAAAAAAAGCTATAGGTTGGTTGCAGGTTCCAGTCCTCTTCGGCGCTTTTCCAAACGTATTTCAACAGCAGGCATTAGCTCATGCACTTTTGATTATTTGTACATGCATGGTGCCACGCTCTGAAAAGCCCCCAAACACGAACCAAATTTGGGTTAATTGGGGAAATCTTAAGATCGGTGTTTCAGTATCGCACGGCTTCAAATTGAATTCGAATATGTATTCCTGGACCTGAAATTTTGGGCTCATTGATGTGCCCCCCCCCATTTTTTGGCTCATCCCCGCAGTGCGCCCCGTTCAGGCGGCGGAAAACATCACACTTGTCATGGACCAGGTGCTGAAGCAGCAGGCGAAGCTTGAGGCCACGGCTGGCAAGCTGGCGTTGGTGGAGACCGACTCAGCAAAGAGGCGCCGTGGGGTCCTGAAATTGCAGCGTATTGGTGTGTTGGTGGGGAGCGAATCACTTGTGCATCATTGGGCTCTAAAGGGCTTGGACGAGTACAGCCTGCATTAATCCCAAATTTGCGAATGTTGCACCTGTTTGTCAGGGCTCTGAAGGGCTTGGACGTGCACATTGCCAATCTCATGGAGGGCCACGACGAGCTAGCAAACTACAAAGCTCAAATAGATGCTCATGGGCATCTTTCTGATGAGTGACTTAGTCAGCATCCCAAGTGCGAGCTCTGCCATGACATGTGCGTTCACGGTCACAGGGATTCTATGGGGTGCTATTCTCCCAACAGGACACGTGTTTGCCATACACAGACACACATAGCCACATCAAAGAATGACCATATGGGTGAACCCAATGTAGATGACTGCAGAGTGGCTTTATGTACGATGTTTACCTTGAAATAAGGTTCGCAAAGAAGTACGAGGGGATCGTGAAAGATGTGGAGATCAGGCGCCGCATTCATTGGACACGTCATGCTGTGTTGCCTTGATGCTCAACTGATGTGTGCGGGTGTCCCATTTGGCAGGGCCTCCCTTGCCCAAACGGAAGAGAACAAGCTGAAAAAGCAACTTGGTCGACGGATGATAGATTTGCATAAATATTATTATACATATAAAAGACATACTGCAAATACTCTTTAAACGACAATGTATGTCACACATAAATAAACCATATATACATATATCGATTATAGTTCCGTATATATATATATATCTATATATGCACACCAAATGTTATCATTATCATTCTAATATAACGCCTAATAGAGCACATGTACAACATAACAATACAATAGCATAATCAATAATATCTCCAACAAAACAATAACTTGCATGCAGCTACAAAGTAATAGAATATATATATATATATATATGTGTATATTGAACATTCTGAATATCACATATGACACATGTGCAACTTACACTAGTGCTGTAGTTTAAAGTATCACATAGTATATCTATATATAGATAATATATATATATATAGAACTATAATAATCTAAATATACATATAGTATACTGTATGTATAGTGTATATGTATATATATATATATATATATTAAATATGGATATAATATATATATATATATAATTTATACAATATGACAAACAAAGTAATATATATATAATATAGAATATATATATATATACATTAATTATATTTTATTGTATTATAGAATAGAATATATATATATAGTATATATATATATATATTATGTCATACATATATATTCTGTTCTATATACATATTATGTTATATATATATTATGTTTCATGTATTATAATATATTATACCACACTTTAGCATGGCACATACCAAACAATGTGAACTCGTGATATGCAAAACTATAGGCTATGATATGGTCTGCACATGTATGCATATCGTGAATATATATAGTCCTACATATATGTATACTATATAATTTCGTATCAACTATAACTTCTCCGTGAAACAAATGATATAATATAATTAGAAATATAATATGATAAGGCTATAAATATTCATGCATGCATAATATATTGCGCTGCGCCGTACCTCGTCCCATCTCAGGACAATCTTGAGGAACACCAAGAAGGACAATGAGAAGCCGAAGCCGAAGGAGCATGAGGAGGGCAAGGACTCAAGTGCATCTCAGAAAAAGAAAACAAAGAAGGCAAAGAAGGGAAGTGAGGAAAAGAAGCAAAACAAAACACAGGGAAATCAGGAAAAGAAGGAAAAGAAGGAAAAGAAGGGAAAGAAGGGAAAGAAGGGAGATAGGGGAAAGAAGCGTGCAGCTGTGGAAGGCCATGCGTGTTTTGGAATGTGTGCACGAACGTGTTCTGTTGCTACGTGGTTCATGGCCCCCTGCCCCCCTGCCCGCCCTTGCTCACCCTTGACCGCAGGTCCTCGAGCGGAGAAGTCCGGCAAGGCAGCCTGAAGGATGCCACAGATTAGCGGTTGCCACATGAATCTGCAAAAGGTAACACTACAATCACTACAATTGCGATGAGCAAAAATGCAAGTCAACACATATATACACATACATGGGCTTTTCAGGCATGTGCCTCAAAAAAACGCAAATACATCTGAGTTGACAAGAAGCTGCATATGGCAACCACGGGTTTGTGTCAAAGGCCCATCGAGGGTGAAAAGCCCGTGGTATGGGTCAATGCGACACATGGCATGTCCAGCATGTCGTCGGGATATGTCGGGATTGCCACTGAATTCCTTGAACAGCAAAATAAAGTTAAACCTTGTTTCTGAAACATGCATATGGTTTCCCTGCAACAGTCCATATGTTGCTGTGTGGCGATCCAGACATGGGTTTCTAGGGGCAACGTGCGGCATGTCCAACATGCCACCTACTGTAGATGGCAAGGGTTGCAGTTGCTTTTCCACATGTGCAGAAACACAAACAGCAAGCGACTACTCTGTGGAAAAGCATAGGCAATCCAGTCAACGGCAACGCGGCAGGGGGCCAGGGTGACAGCACCCACACATGGCATAGGCTTGATCGCAAGTGTGTGAAAATGACTGCAGCTAGTGTATGCTAATGTGTGTGAGCTTCAGGCAGTTTGATGGCAATCTGACCCAGCACCACGCCTTGCGCAGGTGCTTCCTCGTCCAGCTTGCCGGCGGCGAATCATCGCAAGACTGGGCCTGCCGGGCGGGCAATTGCGCGGGCAGTTGGAACCAGCGTGCCCCGACTCGAATTGCATGTTTTCACGTGCCGGCATTGAAGTGCAAAACAGGAGCTGTTGAGGTTCTGTGTACGTTGGATGGGGTGTTGGCTTTTACGTATGTTTAGATATTCTATGTGTTGCGCATCATGTTTTGCATGAATACCATGTGGCCAACCTGAGGTCAGCGAACTTCAGGCATGCAGCCTTGCTGCGGCGTTTTGGGAAGAATCCGCTGAGATTGGTGAGCCGCAGTCCATGCCTAGTGGAGAGCTCCTGGAGGGTATGAACCGGCTTCATCGCACAGGGCACACCAGTCGTTTACCTGGGTTGCTTGTTGAGCATGGGCTCCAAGTTGACGTCAAGCCAACTTTCCACGACATTGGATTGAAATTAGACCACCCGGTGCTCTCCATTTCAAATTACGTCACTGCGCTTTCTAGTGCAGGGAAGCTCGACATCTTGTTTCAGGGGCATGACTTCACGAGCTATTTGTCATTTTGGACCCGGTGCAGGACAATGAAGCCCGAGCATCCTGTGTTTAGTGGTGTGTTTGGCAAGGATCTATCGCATTGCATACCATGCTTTCTGCATGCTGATGAAGGGACATCGCAAAAAAAAACGACAGATCTTGGTGCTGCAGATTCAGCCGGTGATGGGCAGGGGAAGTTCTCGCAGCGCAGAGCTGAATTTCTGTGGCAGTACGTATTTAACGCGGATGCTCTGGGAGTGTGATGCAGGCAAGGCTGTATTCTAAATCGAAGCTTCCACTTTATGCCCTTCTTCGGGTTCTGGCCCAGCAATGCACAGATGCATTTAACGATGGCCTTGACATCACACTCAACGAGCGACCTCACCGGATACGATTGGTTGTTTTAGGGCTGAAGGGAGACTGGCCTGCTCTGACCAAGCTAGGAAGGTTGACGAGGCACCACCTTCGTGATGCCCCAATGTCCGAGAATCCACCAGGCATATGTCACCTATGTTTGGCTGGGCAGTCTCTGTTTCCGTGGCATGTGTGCAGCCCGGATGCAGCGTGGCTGGAAACGATTGGTGCTGGCCCGCTCCCGTGGACGATTCCTTCCCCATTGGCGGACATTCCACAAGACCAATGTGACCGTGCGTCTTTTTATTTCATCGACCTATTTCACACTGTGCACAAGGGCGTGTTTTGTGACCTTGCAGGGTCCGCGATTGTGTCTTAGTTGCAATTGTTTGACACGAAAGAGCGATTCAAGCTTAGCTAGGATATGTTTGTGAGTACAAGTCAAGTTGTCCAACAAACACGCAGGTAAGCCTGGTGGAAGAGCTTGAAGCTTACGGGGGTGGGAGTGCTCTGGCTCGTCTGGGCGCTGTCTTTGGGGAGCTGCAGGCGTATTGCAGCATGCATAAGCTGGTCCTTCACATGAACGCGTTGACCAGGTCTCTTCTTGGCTCGCACAACAGTTCGGATTACCCCTCAGGGATGCTCTTCCTAAATAGTATACTTTCTGCATGTGTTCTGTGTTGTTTTTGTTCGATCAATCGATAATGGATTTGCATGATGTGGGCCAACTATAGGTCTTGGTTCAAGGAAGCAGACACAACAATCGTGTGCAAATGGCTGGAGTGGAAAATACCGCGGTTTGAAGCTGATTACGAAGGTGATCATGATGAACATCTTTCACAGCTTTCCAGAGCTTTGGTTGAGGGCAACAGCTTCATGTCTGCGTTGTACCATCAGCCTTTGTGGTTGAAACCGTCAGACGCCCTTCGCATCTCCAATCACGGGCTTGCATTTCTATCGCTGCACAGCTCTCTGGCAGGGTACGCTTTTCAGCAAGGTTGGCCCCGATACAAACTTCAGCCAAAATTTCATATGCTAGCGCACATTCTATACTCATTGCGGGATGCAGGCTCCAAGAACATCGAGACCCTCAATCCAATCGCATTTAGTTGCCAACTCGATGAAGACTTCATAGGGCGAGTCGCTACACTATCAAGAACGGTGAGTTCAAGAACAACCCATGAACGTACCATCCAGAGATTTCTGCTGAACGTTGCGTCTAGATGGTAGCTGCGACTAATCCGACATGCCGAGCCTGGTAGAAAAGGTCCGTACGAGTCCGGGGAAGCTGTGAGCCAAACGAGCGTCGTGGAATCGGTCACTTTTGCCTTGGTGACACAAATAAGCATCACAGTGATCAGTGCATGTTTAAAAGCATATCCCAGGCTAACCAGGAAGGGTTTTTAACTACCACTCGACTTGCCGGCCCCCAGTCTGACCAGAGATGAGTCCGGTGCCAGTGCCAGTTCCCTCCTTGGCTCTAGGGAATGGTTTTGAATGTGAACCGTTCAGGACCCTCGAAGTAAACCATCCGTTGTGTTAAAACCCTCCAGGCCCCGTGCCTAAATTGGGAAGCTGTTCTGAGGTCTGTGTTAGTGTTGCTTACCAAGTTCCATTGATCGCCATTTGGCTCAAGACACAATTGAGGTTCAAGATCTGATGTGTAGCTGCATTCATACGTGATCGGCATTGAGAGCGGAAAACACTTCGCTTGCGCTGCATTTGTCAGAACCACTGTGTGACTATCATTCCTTCCCCCTTACAACGTTTACACGGGTTCGGCTATAACGGCATCGTCCGTATACACCTTTCCACGTGGTTGGTATTACAGCTGGAGGGTTCGGTGCATAGCGTCCCACGGGACGTCACCTTGCCGTCTCTTGACAGGTTATCAGCCGTATCTACAAGCTCTACACTGGACAGGGAGACAGCTGGTTTATTGCGGGTACAGGGACAATAAAGGAACGATAACCTACACAGTACAATGGCATCTTCAGCGAGCCCAAGTACTGCAACTTTTGGGAACAGCAGCTCAGAGGGATCCAATGGATTGATGGCTCTTCCTGCGGTGATGGATATGATCGCAGATTCACAGGATGAACCTGGGAGCGGAGGTTCCGCGCTATTCAGCGACATTTCCACTCCCACAAGATCATGGAAGCAGATCGATGTTCATCAGGAGTCGAAGCAAAGAGAATCCCCACCGAGAAGATCATCATCTTCGCCTGCGACACCACGGACGTCGCAGAAGGGCGTGAGATCGACATCGAAGGGTGGGAGGTCAAAATCACCCACCAGTGCGGAGTTTCGCGCCGCGATCAAGGAAAAGAACAAGATGGAGGTGGAGATCGGGGAATACCAAAAGACACTTGATGAAATGTCGGCAGCAATGGCGAATCTTCATCAAGAAGACTATGGAAGCACCATCCGGATCCAGGAGCTGGAAAGACGATGCGAGATTGCCAGCAAGCAGTCGGGACATCTAGTGAGTCACCACCAACACCACATGGCTGAGGCATGGCGCAAGTTTGAGGAAGAAGCCCAACAGATGCGCAAGGTGGAAATGAACGCATTTCAGTACGGGGAGAAGAAAGACATGGAGTCGAATATTATAATGCAACAGATGAGACAAGCTGAAGGAACTATCATGGAGCAGAAGCGGGAGATTGCAGTGATGAAATCCTACATGGCAAGCGAGAAGTCGGCCGCGCAGGAGTCAGCTATACGTGCAAATCAGATACACCGTGAAGCTTCACAGCAGATATCAGTTTATCAGCAACAAATCAGAGGCATCGAATCATCTACATCTATCGAGAAGTTCAACGAGGAGGAGATGGTCCAAAGTCTGAAATCACAGTTGGAGCACGCACTCGTCAAGCGCCCCGAGACGTACTCTATGGAGGACTCCAGGGAACAGCTGATGGCGAGACTGAATGACGTTACAGTATTTGCGGAACAAGAATCGAAGAGAGCAGATTGCTTGCTTCGCGAGAAGGAAGAGATCGTCAAACAGTATGAATCCGACGTGTCGATGAAGGACCAGATGATTGCTGTCGAAGGTGGTCATCGTCAAGATGCGATCTTGGAGTTAGCCCAGGTCAAAGAAGCAAAACAAGAGGAACGGTGCACGATGGACGAGAAGTCGAAGGAGGCTGAGTACTGGAGATTGACAGCTAAGGGAATGTACGATGAGTACCTCGAGGAGATGCATGAGCTTCAGGGACAACTGAAGGAAAGGGAGGCGACGCTCAAGCAAGAAGAGAGTTTTGTTCGCCAACTCGATGCTGACAACGAGGAACTACGTGCACACAAGAAGCTGGAGACACAGGAAGCCTCCAGCAGCAAAGATGGACATCGTGAACGAGCAGTAGTGAAACGCGCTGAGGGAGGACCCCAAGCTAATTCAACTAGGGTAGACAAGAAGGTGGCTGG